AACTTCGATTGTATGTTCACTTATACTTATATAGTTAGACTAGCCTATGCCCGCTTTCTTCGCGGCGCCTAATAAGAACTTTTGCATTGGCCAATGCAAAAATAGTCTGTAAAGTCAAAATTTTTGGTAGTATCCTCCTCTGTTATACCATATGGAATACCAATCCCTTTCGGTGTCATGAATTTCAACCTGGACTCCAGCGGCACTCATCGGGTCAATTTTTATCAAAAGAAATTTCCATCGTACATAGCTCACATTCAAAATTTATATGAAATCGGTTAATAAATACGATTTTTATAAATAGCTCTACTCCAGCACCACCTAGCGAGTTTTCTAGCAGCATGTAATAGAACCATATATGTATGTAAGATAACCTCCGACAATCTGACGGAACTCTATTCATTGGTTTTTGAGTTTAGTCCGAACGATGAAAACGGCTATCATTTTATGCAAATAGGACAGTCTATAGCGAAACTCGAAAAATCAAAGCTCCATTCTTTGTGAAAATTTAAAAAAATGCTTAATAATTTTCACATAAGTTTGACCTTTTACTAAAAATTAAAAAAAAAGTTACAATAGTTCAATGGGATTTAGAAATCCTGGACAAAATGGTTCCCAATCGAATGATTCTTGCACGTTTAATTAAATGTATATCGATCCAGCCTTTCCAATAATTACCACTTTTCGGCATAAGTACGGTATTGATAACATATGTAGCTGTACCAAATTTCAGAAAGTTAACGTGCGCGTTTCCAGTGATAAGTGAAATGAGAAGCATGGGGGTGCCACGCCCCCTTTTCCATTACTTACCACTTTTCGCCATAAGTACGGTATTGATAACATATGTAGCTGTGTCGAATTTCAGGACGTTACCGTAAGCGGTTCCAGAGATAAGCTATATGAGAAGTTCAGTTTGTAAGGAAGGTGCCACGCCGCCTTTTCCAATGCATTTGCAATATATGCATCAATGCTAAGTTTCAGTTCCCCAGCGTAATTGGTTTTAGAGATATATTGGTTTTTTACTTTTTAGTCTGTATAAGAATTTTTGGAATATCCCGAGCTACATACCGAGTAAATTTTTGGTCGGAATATTTATTTTCAAAGTGCTAACATAAGTTCCAAATGTAAACCAAATCGGTGCAGCCGTTTAGTAGTTTAGTGAAATACATTGTACAGAGAACTGTATGAAATTGTAAAGCGTGACGTCTCAGATTTCTTAATTTTTTGGCAGCAAAAACTAAACGTTTTTAATTTTTTTAGCGAAAAACCTTCCACACAGAGTTCCAAAAAAGTGCGATTGGTTATACTTGAACACACTTAATTGAATGTCAATAAAATTAAGTTTGTGGTTATATCAAGGCCAAATTTTGAGAACAGTCCGTTGCTAACTCTAAATATAAACAACGACGCACTGGAAAAAGTTAATACATTCAAATACCTAGGAATAATGATCGACGATAAACTAAAACAAAAAAATGGATTCTATATTTTCAATTAGAGCTCTAGCAATATGAACATCGGTGAAAACTGCATTTTATTCCATACATTAGTTTTTGCGTGATGCGCTTACAAACATACAGACATACAGAGTCAAACATTCTAAAAATTGGATATTTGGCTTCTGTAGCTCTAATAAAAACCCACCATATTAATTTTGCTTTAATATCTATAACGTACGGACATCGGCCTGTTACAATTTTATTATAGGTATTCATTTATTTTATCAATTTAATACAATACAATTTTTCAAAAAGTGGCAACCCTCCCTAAATATATTTTCGGCAGTAAAATTTCCTAAACCACTTCAGTTTGATACCCATATTGCAATATTCAATTTATCTTGTAATTTATGTTAAATTAAAATTTTCAAACAGGTGGCAACTCTAAAAAAATTTTTTTTGGATATAAGCCTTCTTAAGCCTCTTTCTTTTGACGGCCATATTGCAATATTCACTTTTTCTTATCAACTTACTTAAACTGCAATTTTCAACAGGTGGCAGCTCTCTAATTTTTTTCTTTCTATATTTTAAGTTAGACCTCTAGCAATACATCGGTGAAAGCTGCATTCAAATCCAAGCATTCGTTTTGTTTTCGAGTAATGCGCGTGTAAACATACAGACAGACAGACAGACAAAAGTTCTAAAAATGGCTGATTTGGCTTCTGGTGCTCTAATAAGGACCCCCCACATTAATTTTTCTTTAATATCTACAATTTTATTATATGTATAGATATGAGCGGTATCACGCCCACTTTCAAAAATTCCATAATAATGTTACTTATTTTCAAGGGATTGTTGTCAGTATCAATTTTGAGTAAATTAGTGTCCTTAAATTTCGAAATATCGAAGTTTTAAGAATTTCTGAAATTTACCTTTATATGAAAGTGGGAGTAATTTTAGTCCGATTTCAATAATTTTGTAACGTTTTGCTTTTATGTGGTGAGCGAAATAATCGTACCAAGTTTGATACAAATGATCGAACGGTTACCGAGATATACATACCTGGTCATAAGTGGGCGGTGCAACGCCCATTTCCCAAAATTTTATCATGAACGTGTTTTTTGTTACAGACTTATTGCAAACATCACTTTTGAATAAATGAGCTTCTATATCTACTGATTTATTGAAGATTTCGTATATCTCTAAATTACCGTTATATGGGATTTGGGAGTGGTTATTGTTCGATTCTAAAAATTTTCGGCCATTTGGGATGTTGTACCAAGGCTAACAACTGTGCCAAGTTTGGGAGAAATTGGTATAGCGGTTACCAAGATTTACACATGTAATCATAAGTGGGCGTGGCTACGCCTATTTTCAAAACAGTTATCGTGTACACGGACGGACGGACAGACGGACAGACAGACATGGCTTAATCGACTTCTCTTTTCATTCTGATCATTTATGCATACATTTGTCTACATATATCTATCTCGATTCGTTTTGGCTGCTACAAACAACCGTTATGTGAACAAAGTTATAATACCCTTGTGCACAAGTGCGCTCGGGCCAAAGATGGCACGGTATGAGCAGGCCTGATCGCAAAATGAGGAAGTGTACACAATTTTGACAGTTAAAACTTATTCTCACACTTCCTAACACTCCAATGGAAACTTGAAATCTCCCAGTTACAGAATCCAGCCCCTGGGTGTTAGGAATTTTTACTCAATATTTTTTGGTTGTCTTTTCTTTTATGCCACGATTGTTATTTTGGCGACGCTCCTAAAAGTATTCTTAGTTTTATCAATTATATGGCAACATTAAACACATTATCTCCCAAAGACGCAGACAATCACATTTTTAACTGGCCCATAAATAGCCAGAAAATAATAGTTTTGTGTTGATTTGACCGCTTAGCTGGATGACGCCACCAACACAACACACCAACATTTGACCAGTTTTGACTACTTTTCTTTTTATATGGAAGTAATTTTTTATATGGAAGAAAAAAAATGATCAAAAAGCAACGCAATTTTTTACTTCAAACTTACACTTGATTATACTAGAATAAGCTATAAAACTGCGTACCAAAAATTATTCTAGAAATTAAAATTAAAATGCTTGGAATTGGGATGAAAAGTTTGTGGAATTTTTATAATTTATGTACAACGTCTGAAATTAAGATTTATGTGGTATTTGTTAGATAAAGAGCTATGTTTTTATATCAAAATTACGAACCTTTAAAAAAGCAAAAGAAAAGTAGTCAAAACTGGTAAAAATGTTGATGAGCTATCTTTTGTCGCGGGGTGTGTGTATATAACTAGGTATGTACCCATATAAATCAAACATAGTATTTCTCCCCAAAATTCGATTTGTTTATTGCGAGTTCGCCGATAAAATTAAATAAATAAAATTTATAAAAAACGAGAGAGCACTGTATGTTCTCTTCTACAGCAGAGGTGTACGTTTTATGTTTCTTTGTATTTTCCTTGTTGTTGCAATGGAATTCACTTTCCAGAGCGTCACTTAGTCAGTCCAGATGTATGTATGCAAGTATGTAAGTATGAATGCGTGCAATGGTATCATTTTGCTCATCTATGGTATTTGACCATATTGAATTCAAGCTGAAGCGAATGGCCGAGCTACCGCCACAGTAGTTACCCGCCAACGCCGTCGACACCCGGTAATTGCAGTGGGCTATGCAATTCGACGCTAGCCGGTAGTTAAGCGTGATTAGCGCGATTTTTTTTGCAGATGTTGCACATTTCTTGAAGCCGCAGCCGCAAAAGCACCACAAAGCAAGACGACAAAGCCCACAAATTACAGCTATATAATTTCACTATAAAACAATTGCAGACAGCACCATGTTTTTTACTTTGCTTGTTCAGTTACATTTGAGCGATTGATTGGGACGCGATTAGTAGCAACACTTTGTGTATGGAACGGAACAGCGGCAGTTACAGCTGACAGAAAAAGAAGCGCATAACCAACCAACGAGTTGACCGATATAATTTTATAAAACTGCATCGCTTGTGAGAAAAAATAATCTTAAATTGAATCTATTTGGTACATTGCGAAAATATGAGTGGCGCAAAGAAAGTCGAAGTACCAACGCTCGAACTGAGGTGCGGGCAGTGATTTATCTGCTAAGGTTTAACCTAATGTAAATAGCCTTATTCATAAAAAATAAAGTAGCTTTAAAAAAGGTTTATAAATTGAAAAATGTATGACAATCAAGGCGAATCTATACAAGGTGGTGTTATCGGATCCGCTGATTTCACGGCGAATTTGTACCTTTTGTCAAAATCATGTAATTGTTGTAATTTGGCTTTGTACTGATTGTCAAGGAGCGTATAATTTGTTGTTGTAATTTTTGTTTTTGTTCTGTTAACACCACCTTGTATAAATTCGCCTTGATGACAATGTATGTATGTATGTCAATTTATAAACCTTTTTAAACCTACTTTATTTTTTATAAATAAGGCCATAAGTGTTTTTGTCTATAAATAAAATAATAAAATAAATTTAAAAATATGTAATGCTTTAATGTTTCATAATTTCCAGATACAAAATCCAACCGCGTAAAGATGTTGAACAGGCGCTGCCGTCTCCAGACTTCGATCCTTTCGCAGAACGCAAGGTGGAGCATCCTACAACGTGAGTGCCATAGCTTTTTAGGTTTATATCCCACGTATCGTAATTAACTGTTTCTATTTACTTTATATGTATGTTTGTAGTGATAACGAAACGCTCACGCATCTGCTGAAGGCTTCTTTGGGTACTGGCATCCTGTCTATGCCCATCGCCTTTATGTACTCAGGCATTGTGCTTGGAATTTTTGCCACTATCTTCACAGCTTTCATTTGCACACACTGCAGTTATGTACTTGTAAGTATTGGGAACTTATAATCACATATTTATGTGTGTAAGCATGAATATTTTAGAGTTGCATGCATACATATGTACATGTGAAATGCATTTCTGTGCGTTGAAAACAAAAAAGAAATTAAAATAACTGTGAAATTATATAGAATAACGGCATGCATATGTATGTTTGTATGTATATACAAATGCATGCATACTAGAGCGTCCATGAAATATATATATAGCCATCAGTGTTGCCACACATATGCTTTTCCTACCAAAGCTGGTAGGTTTTTTTCCATTTGGTAGGTTGGTAGGCTTGATTGGATATTGGTAGGTTTTGAGACAATGAGTAATAGTTATTTGCGAAAAATATAAAATATGTATCTCGCAAACTTTTCAGCAACCTTTTTTACACGAATATTTCACCGGTGCGTTTGTATAACGCCGGCCGCCGTTACCAATATACAATACGACCATCCATATATCATAAAGTATAGTACTTGGACCAAGATTCCAGAAAAGTCTGCCAATGCGATCGTACCCAACCATTTCCAGGCGGAGGTTTTCGCAATCGAAGTCTGTGTTCGTGAATGTCATCGTAGAAGGAAAATGAGGTCAGAATAAATATTATGACAGATATTCAGGCAGCGCTAAAAGCCTTAGAGTCTTTTAAATCGGCATAAAGGCTTGTGAACTCTTGAACCACCTGGGAGCCCACAACAGCGTAACACTGTGGAACGTTCAAGGACATGAAGGGTTTGAAGGCCAAAACGTGCAAAGCGTGGAGCCCAAATGCGTTTGCATGGTCCCGAGCCTTTCTGCGGGACATCCAAATGATACACTGCAGACCAACTTAGGAGCTAGCTTGGAATAATCTCAAAATGCTGCCCACTGGCGAAAGTCAAAAGGAATAAAAAAATCAAAGATGCATAACTCTTTCCAGAAGGAACCCCGAAAGACACATTGAACTTAGAACTCTTACTGGCTACCTGATAGCGCACTGCAAGTTAACGTACCGTTTGAATTAAAGGGTCTCTCTGTAGAGACGGACTGTAGGTTTTGGGGACTGGTGGAGGAAACGCCTGTGCTGGCCACGAAGCATGAAACGTAGATTGATACACATTGGAGAACGATTGTCTTCTTTATCTAAAATTTGGGACATGGGATCATCCAAAGTCCTGCGCTTTTTAAATAGCCTAAGGTTGGAGTGACAACAATAAGGATTTAGTACAATACATCTTCTTAGGTCGCAGCGTGGGTATCTCCGACGTAATAATAATAATATCGTCACTAGACACGAATAAAGACGCTCGGGTGATTTGATGGCAAAAAAGGACGCGTGAAAAAAATGCGAAAAAAGACGCGTAAACATGGATTCAACATCATTCCGAAAAAAAAACTCTGTCGGGAATTCGTATACTGTTACACTCGTAAACATAGTTGAACGCGAAAATAAGTTTATACGTATTTCTTTGCCGTCGCCTATGTTAAGAGTCTTTCTTCGCCGAAATTTTTTTACGCGTCTTTTTTCGCTGTCAACTTTTGAGCTCGCGTCTTTATTCGTATCTAGTGACGATATGTACGAATGTGGAAAGAGACATATGTACATTTCGATAAGTCTGTACAGTAAAATGAGTCGTTATACGCAGTTAATTTGTTTTTATTGCACTAGCTGTGTTTTAGTCTTAATAAATGTTAAATTATCTACATTTTTAATAAACTTGACCTTGAAAAAAATATTAAAACTCAAAAAATGTTTGGTAGGTTTTGGTTGGTTATGGTAGGAAATTTTGATAGGGAAAAAATTCTCTGTGGCAACGCTGATAGCCATGCTAGTTTGATTTAAAAGTTGAAAATTAATCCAGATAATCAGATAACTAGGCACGTGTTCACACTTCCACACAAAATTCTAAAATACACTATTCGAAACAATCAATTTTTTTCGATTTGCGAAGCCTTCATACCTTATATGAATATGTAAAAATGTTGCTTATACAGTAACGACCTCGACGATATTCTTAGTACATAGATGATAATTTATCATTGTTAAGCAAACAGCCCAGAAGTTTTCTCTGTTCTAGCTGCCTAAATTAATAGTTATAAAGAAGCAAATCTCATATCTGTACAATCAGCTGCATGGGAACAATATGTTATAGTGGTCTTATTTTATCGGTTCCGATTAATCCATTATAAAAACACATCTGTCTACCAAATTTGTGCCAGATATCTCTAAAACGGAGGGACCAGTTTGGGCCGAAAGAAACGGACGAAAGGCTAAAATTACTTAGATCCTCGTCCTGGTCGCTTTAGTAAAAAAGATATAGGACTACTTCTTCTTCTTATAATTACAAAGATCGGACGAAAGTTATTTTACCATTTCTTCTTCATGAAAGGTATTGAATTTATCTTAACTTTAGGATCCTCTGTACTCGATAAAAATTTATATATATAAAACAAAAAGATTTTCTAAATTATTTATATTTAATACTTTGTCAAGGGAACTTGGCACCAGAACGAAAAATTCTACCTTTGAATGCGGATTCATCGTTCTATTCAGTATTGCTAGTTTAGTCGTTTTCCGGCTAGATTTAGCCGGTTGCGATAGCAAACAGCCGGAGAAAATTCGGTTTAGCCGGCAGCCGATTTCTTAGCCGGTTTACAAAAAAAAATTAGCCGTTTCTAGCCGATTTTTGATTTGGCCTTATTTTCTTAAAATTCAAGTTTATGTACATATAAGTCTCCCTTTTTACAAATTCGGCGACCCAAAATCTATTAGAAATGGCTACCAGCCTTTTCTCGGAGAAAATTTATATGTTGGACTGTGTTATATAAAATTGAAAGATTCTAATCCGAAAAATCTTAAAATACTGGGCCGATTTTAATGATTTTTATTTTCAATGTCTTAAATTTAAGTGGTAAGTTGTATTCGAAACACTTAAAATAACGAATTGTTGCACTGTTTGTTATACCCGAGCGCACTTGTGCACAAGGGTATTATAACTTTGTTCACATAACGGTTCTTTGTAACAGGCAAAACGAATCGAGATAGATATAGACAAATGTATACATAAATGATCAGAATGAAAAGAGAAATCGATTAAGCGGTGACTGTCTGTCCGTCCGTCCGTCCGTCTGTGCACACGATAACTCGAGTAAAAATTGACATATCTTGGTACGTGGGACGGATGGTATTGAAAATGGGCGAAATCGGACAATAACCACGCCTACCTCCCATATAACGGTAATTTTCAGAAATACGAAAACTGCGATATTTTAGTAACTACTAAAGATAATTCACTCAAAATTGATATTTACAATGAGTTTTAGACGAAAAATAAGAATATTATAACATTTCGGCAAATGGGCGTAGCCACGCCCACTTATGGTTACATGTGTATATCTTGGTAACCGCTGCACCAATTTCTTCCAAACTTGGCACAGTTGTTGGTCCTGGTACAGTATACCCAATGGCCGAAAATTTTTAATATCGGACAATAACCACGCCCACATCCCATATAACGGTAATTTAGAAAAATACGAGATCCTCGATAAATCAGTAAATATTAAAGCTAATTTTTTCAAAATTGACGGGTGCAACAATTCTTAACAAAGAAATAAGTTTGTGATAAAATTTTGGAAAATGGGCGTGGCACCGCCCACTTATGATCACATATATGTATCTCGGTAACCGTTCTACCAATTTGTGCAAAACTCGGTATGGTTATTGTGCTTGCCACACAAAAGCAAACCGTTGAAAATTGTTGAAATCGGACTAAAATTACGGCCGTTTTTCATATAACCGGTAAATTTCAGATATGCTTGAAATTTCAATATTTCGAAATTTAAGGACGCTAATTTACTTAAAATTTATACACCCCAGCTTATCATGTAGCGGCAGCTTTCGGAAAGGTGGAAAACATATATTTAATACTTGCGCCGGGTATTTAATGTTCGGCTCCGCCCGAACTTAGACTTTCTTACTTGTTTAACACGCGTTGTTTGGATATAGTGCCAACACATGGAACAAATAATACAGTTGTATTACCAGAGAGCGCATATTCAGAGAACGTATATTTATAGAGAAGGTCCAAAATGTGTGTGTGTGTGAATGCCACATTTTTCGAGCCAACAAACAGTGTTGCCAACTTTTGAATTTCAAAAAGCACCAAACCTTGGAAAAAAGAGCGTTTTACCGCACTAAAAGTACTAAATTTTTTTTTAATCAAAGGATACCTTCTTTTATAACAGTTTGTGGTAAACAAAAGTAAAAAAATAAACAATATTTAATAATAATAATAGATTGGCGCTTACACATATGTTAGTGTTTGGCGGAGCTTCTCCTTCGATTTGTGGCGTGCGCCTTGATGTTGTCACACAAAGCGGAGGGACCTACAGTTTTACGCCGACTCCGAACGGCGATTGTATTTTTATGAGAAGCTGTTTTTCATGGCAGAAATACACTCGGAGGTTTGCCATTGCCTGCCGAGGGACGACCGCTGTTAAGAAAAAACCTTCTTTCTATATTTTTTTTGCGATGTTGCTTTGACCAGGGCTTGAACCCAGGCGTTGCGGAGTGGAAGCGCGCACTGCTTACCACTACACCACAGCGGCCGACAAATAATATTTACATGTATAAATAAATACACATTCATGCTTACGAAGTAATACCGAATTACTGCACATTAAAATTGGTACATCTGGAGAAAGAACAATCGAATCGCAACAAACGAAATTGAATTTTGAAGGGGAAGAGTAATACTTAATGATACCCTAAGTAGAAATGAACGAAAAAATTTGTTGCTTTATAATAAACCGTGATTTACACTTAGAGGTTAGGATATCTCAAAATTCTGACGTGGTAGAGAAATTCTGCAGCCAGATTTGGATTCAGCCCCGAAAAATCTATAAACCGATGAACTCAGGTGGCAAAAAAAGTTAAAATTTTTCGGACTGTGTAGTCAATCAATAATTAAGAAAATAAAAAAAATAAACACTTAACTTATCTGCGTGCTAGCGTGGGT